TCACGGACCAAATGTAGCACACTTTTTCTGTTTTCCATCAGACTGAACACACAACGTCTGTTAATGCGATTAATATAAGCTTATTTTAAGTGCATCAGGTGCTGTGGAGCGCTGAGACATCCCAACCCGAAACTGTTTGTCCTCTGTGCAATCAGTGCATGGAGAGAGTTCTCCTAAAATGAACAAACCAATGAAAGAAATCTGCCTCCTACCAATATGCTACACACAGCACACTTATATTGGAAACTACACAGTAGAATGACAGACACTTCACAACTTTTAACACATCAAATGTAAATAAATGAGTTAATGGAGGCATTGTGGAGGATTTTTGTTGCGTTGAAAATAAGAGTGCTTGTGCTGTGTTATCATCAGTGGAGTTGAGGCTACAGGCAGCTGCATGTCGGCTAACTAGGAGGAGGCCGTGGTTATGGATCCCATTGTGATGAGTGGGAGCAACGTTGAATTGAATGAGAGACAGTGAGTGTGTAATCCTATTTTTGGAGGACAAGGGTGATGTGCTCATGGGAGTGGGTGTGTGTACTTTAAACAGACGAGCAGTGTGGATGGTGTGTTAAACAGGGTTCTGTTGTATTAGTCATGTAGGGATAAGATGCATGCATGGTCTAAACAGCGGAGGAAAGGAGTAATATATGGAGGTGAGCAATATTTGTTTAGGTGGAGAAAAGCTCTTAGGAATTGGTGTTATGTTCAAACGAAGGGTTAGTGCCAGGAATATTTATGTAGCGTGTGGGAAGGAAGTCAGAGTGGAGTTCATAGAAAAGAAGAAAATATGGACAGAAGGGTGGTGAACCCAGGACAAATGGATTTATATTTCAGATTAATCCTTGTCAGGTTGAAGTTTGTTTGTTTGTTTGGAACAATGGTTTTATTTCAGCGAGGCAGTTTGTGAGGAAGAAGCAGGGAGTGGCTGGGATTGATTTAGTGGAAGATATAGATCCTGGAGTTCTCAGTGAAGCAGAGAGAGCGGAAACAGTTGTGGTGTATGATTTTACCAAGAGGGAATTGTTGATGATGGGGACGAGAGACTGATGCACTAACCATGCCCCCCCCCCCCCCCCCCCCTTTTTTTTGTTCAACGTTAGCTTGTTAGCTGTGAATTGAACAGAACACACACACTGGTGCCAGGGAGGTTAGTGTCATGTGTGTCACACTGGTGCCAGGGAGGTTAGTGTCAGTGAAATCTGCGACAGAGATACAGTGATGTAAAGAGTTTTGTGCTACAGTCTCACTTAATGACGGTGACTGTCATAAAGCAGACAGTACTGTTGGAGACGGCAATGTAATGATTGTCTATTTTAGTACTGCCCATAAAACCCTTAACTACCTCTTTTTTTAAAAGCCCTTCAGGTGCTATAATGACTGCACCGTGTGTAGCAGCATGTTCTTCATGTGATGTACAGTGGACTTAATCCAAGCATCATCCAATAGGATAGGGGCAGTGGCACCATTGTCAGCAAATGTCTTCAACAGTGTCTAGAATTTTACTAAAAGCCACTGATGTTACAGTAATATGCCAAATCCTCACAACTGTGTTTACTAACCTCTTAAATCTGTCACCTCGTCCTGTTGTTTCTATGCAACAGAACTGAACAATGGCAGGATTGACAACAAAGTCACCTTGACCATGTTTTTATTTTTTTATCAGTCCTGTTTTCACTGACCTGCCACCTCTATTTAAGTGATGGCGTCATGATTAGCTGTTGACAAGCAGCGTGATTCTCTGTGTGCATGCTAATTAAAAAAAAAAAAACAGTCATAGAGAAACAGATGCCAGATTAGTGTCGGAGCAAATTGACTGATGAGAAGCCTCCCTGTCGCCGGGTCACCTGCTGGCTCTGTTGTACTGATGACATGCTCCCACTCATAACCCCACTGTGCGCCAAAAATAATTGAGTGAGTTACTTCCACAGCTACCATTAACAAAGGGTTAAATTATACCACAAGATGTCTCTTCTACCTTTTTTTGTGTGCTTTTTATATTCACATTCAGGATTTCACCTTGTCAACTACAACAACCTCGACACTAATTTGATTGGTGCTGTATGTAATTGTATTATTTCCATCAATATGGGCCATATGGTCGACACCGCGGTCACAAATGTAATGCCACAGCACAGATTGAGGGTCTTGAATGGCAAAGTACAATTACATGCTTTTGATTAAGGATTAATTATTATATTGCACATAATATAATGCAAAAGTTGTTTTTAAAATGTGCATTTTTCACCATTACGTTGAAAAACTCAATTCACATTCCACTATGAATCTCAATGGGAATATACCTAATAAAATTATAATTATTAAAAAAAATCTGACACTGTATGTGGAGGGAGATATAAACCATCATCATCTTAAGGTCTACAAATCAGTATAAATAATTCTAACATTAGTCAGTAGTTTTAGAATAGTCATCTGGTAGTGGTTACCATAATCTAACCAGTAGTACAAAGCAGTAAATATACATTTGAATTAAGAAATTTACATCAACTAAGACACAAGTGCTAATATTATATATACAGTATAGTACACATCCATGTATTGTAAAATAATACAGTACTAATGTACAGCATTAATATGTATATACACAAGTATCAAATATATATTTATTCAGAAACCTTGTAGTTCTAAGGTCTAACCCTGCAGACTGTACAGTTTTGTGTACAGCAGAAAGTAACACACTGTCGACAATTGAGTAAATGAATTGTTGTTCAGTCCTGGTTTTAAAACTGCCACTGGGCAGATCTCCAACAGTTGTAAATATCTTACAATGCCCCCTCCGTTCAACACAATTCTTTGTTCATTGGCTTGGGGAATTAACTGTGAAGTGCAGACGTGTGGATGTGTGGAGAGAACGATGCGAACGACCCTGAAGTATTAGCTCTATTTGTTATGTGGTCACTGAGCTCATGGAGCGTGGATGGTTGGGTTTTGTGAAGAGGGGAGAGGTCTCTCATTTTCACTGATAGAGGGCTCAGACATTGAAGAGGAGACCAAAGCTTGGTGAAATCCAGTCAACTTCAATTACAGCCCCTTGTAGTTTTCCCGGGGGTGCACTATAGTGCCTTTAAGAGGAAATCAATGAGGTGACAAATTGTTGTGGACAGCAGCCTCTTTTATTTGTAATGCTGCTGTATCCTGGACCGGGTGCTATTAGAAGTGTGTCTATCCTGGTGTGTGTCAGTGTGGGCTTGGCAAGCACATATCACCGTGTTGTACTTCCCAATTATGATAATGAAAAGCTTTAGACCATTTGTGTTTGAATGCTGTGTTTTGTGTGTTCAGCTTTAATGGCTTGTTATCTGTGTTAAGCTGTTTTGTAAATGCGTTCTAATGATGGCTCACATGCGTCAAACGCTCTGACAGCCCCACGCTGCTGCTTTTCTAATTTCAGAATAAAAGTATTTGGAGTGATTCTCAAGGTTATTTGGAGTTTGTCTCTGTCATTCCCTCTGACGTCACACAGCTGATGAGCGCAAGTATGTACGCAAACATATGTTGCTGATTTGTTTTTAACACATCTAGCCAACCTGCTTTCTGCTCAAACACATGTATTCTGGGAAACTGCATAAATACTGATGAAAGAAGTACTACAGTTTGAAGACACAGTATCCATCTGCACTACACTTATTCTTATGGTGATTGCTATTCTGTACTACATGTCATTGTGCAGAGAATGTTCATTGAAAATAAATATTAATATATCATATTACATTATATCATATATGGTATTAAGAAAAACTCCTATGATCAAACTTGTGCTGCGTAACATATGTAAAAAGGTATCATAATCATACGTGAAGTGGAATGGAATCATAATAATAATCTCTAAAAATGTAAAAACTAACATTTCTAGAAGGTTGTCTTTGTCGTCTTGAGCATTTCCCCTTTTTTATTTTACCCTGGCAAAATAAACAATTATTCAAAAGAATATTGAAAAGAGATGGAGGCTCTGGTTGCAAAAGTGTTTCTACTTAAATAAATGATATCTAAAGAATTTCCTGGTTTAATTTTTTTTCCCATTTTTCTTGGACTTTTTTTTGCTTTGTCTCATATTTGCAATATTTTTGATGCTCCGAAAAAGCCACTTTAGTCAGAGTACATTACATCCATCTAACAGTATCGCACCTCACAGACCAATGACCTCTGAGGCATTTTATCAGCAAAGTAGTTGAAATACCCCATATCACAGTCTGTGCTGCTGTAGTCCGTATTCAGTGGAAGCCTTATATTGTTTGCTTTTGCTCGGTCATCATTTCCTCCTGGCTGTAGGCATCAATCTTTGTCGCTGACCAATACATAGTGTGGACTTGTGCTACCTCAAAACTGCGGTTCCTTTCTATGCACTGGAGATGTGTAAAATATTGCTTATATTGTTGTTAACGTTTCTATATTTAAAAAAAAGCAACATGAATATATGAATGTTTTTAATTTCCAACTATTTAATTGAAAAGTAAGACCAGGCTAATACTGTATATGCTAGTATAATTTCTCTCTACCAGTGCAGGGTGTTATGCATATGAAGTATAATATGTTCATGTCTGTGGTTTCTTTGCATGTTCCTGCATTTCCTCATTCAAGTAGTTGTTATTTTTATGTCTCAATCATCAATCACACACACAATAAATTCAAACAACATACTTAAAAAAGAAAAAAAGTAGTAAATGCATACAGCAGAAATTCTGCATGTAGTAGCTACAGTAAGTAGATGTTCACTCAGTAGGATATGGACACAGGCTCATGTTCACTTATCTTGTGCATATAGAGGTGAGGGAGGTACTGCATCTAAATCAGATGGAGTCAACACATTGCATTTTCTGAAAGTGGTCTCACATTCACTTTGCGGCAGCTTTTGCCACGTCTGCCAAAACTTTCTCTAATTTTCGTTTGTACATTCTGTGGCCTTTTAGAATTTTTTTTAAGCTTTAAAAGGGTCAAGGTATAATACAGCTTTTTTCTTTCTTTTTGTGTGTCTGCAGGAAAAGAAGAATATGTGGCAACCTTCAAAGGATCTGAGTTCTTCTGCTATGACTTGTCCTTGCACCCCATTCAGAGCAGCAGCGATGAAATCACATTGTCATTCAAAACCTTGCAGAGGAATGGACTGATGCTGCACACGGGCAAATCAGCTGACTACGTCAACCTGGCGCTGAAAAACGGGGCTGTCTCTCTCGTCATTAATTTGGGGTCTGGAGCCTTTGAAGCTCTTGTGGAGCCAGTCAATGGGAAATTTAATGACAATGATTGGCATGATGTCAAAGTAACACGGAATCTACGTCAGGTAACAGTACAAAGGATGATGCCGAGGCTCGGTTAATCAGTCGAAAAAAGCACATTTAAATCATTGCCATCATCCGTTTTCAGGGACTGTAAATAGTTCGCTAAATTCAATCAAAATGGTTTTGGTGGAGACAAAATAGTACCGCAAATGAACAGGGACATTAAGACATCTCCACGGTGTCGATCAATAGAGATGTACAATTCTTTCTAAACCATATTGATATCTGCTGCTAACAATGGTGTTGTAATACCTAATAATTCATTTTTTCTATAAAAAATAGTGTCATTAATAATGATGTTTTGTTAATGTTGACCTATGGTTCAGATATAGGTTTACTTCGTTAGCCATGTCATTAACCCGCGTGCTAGCCGCTGATGCTTTGCAATCACACAGTACAACTACATAATATTGTCAGTCTACAATATATTTCTTAACAAATAGTTTATAAGCCTCAGATAATATTGTGCTTTCTTAATATAAAGTATAAAATTCCAATTTAATTACATTTAGTATTTACCATAAATTGAACAAGAAGCTCATTGCTTCATGCCATTAACTTTGTGCTGTATTGTACAGATGCTTTATTATATACATTCATTGCCCTGGGAGCTAAGAGAATTCCTCTAGCCAGATCTATTGGCATTAATAAGCTCTTTTACATGGCCCTGAGGACCGACCTCTGTATGAATGACTGCCAAGAGAGCAGGCAGCGACAGTCTGACTGGGTCAAACAGCATGCGGTTTCTCATTGCATTCGGCAGCTTGTGCCACTTACATTTGTCAATATCAGATGATAGTCCCTCCTAGCCATCCTTCTGATTGTGAGCCATCTACCCCTGGCAATACTGCTTACATTCAGGGAAACAGACGAGGTATTGACACAACTGCCTTGTGCCCTAATATCCACCAAAGCAGAGGAATGAGATGCTATAAAAGGGAGGTGTAAATTAGAGCTGTTGTCCAGAATCAAACATTTCGGCCTGTAGTAGAATATTTTATTTGAGGTTATAGAATGTAAGAGAGGGCAGTGATTTGTATATATTAACAATAATTGACTGAATCTGCATTCAAGATGGTGTTGTCAATGGCAGGATTAGCATTGATATGACTGGGCGTTGGTACAGAAAGATCAATTAATATGTATTATGTAGTAAAGAATTTATATATATATATATATATATATATATAATCATAGAATCATCCAAAGGCATTTTCAGTGGACAGCAGGAAATATCAGATTGTCAGCCTGCAGTAGCACTGCCTTCTGCTTTTATTTTTAAATTTTCTGTATGTTTTTGAATCAAAAGAGGTGACAGTAACAAGTTGAGTTAGAGGATGCTATTTTAGGGCTAATTAAGAAAGGATTTGTGGTGTGAAGCTTATCAAATTTTTCTACAAAATGTCACAATCTGACAAAGCTTTTCAACTTTGCTGTGAAGTACAGCACCACAGAACAGGAGCTGTACTTGTCCTCGTAGTGGCCTCACTGATGTAATTACTACTTGGATTAGATGCGCCCGTCATGAGGTGTAGCCTAATCCTAATCGTAATTCATATCCTGGATGTAATGGATAGTCTTGAAGCTCAATGTATTTATACAAGCAGCCTGTAAAAAAGGAGCATAGTTTTCATATTTATGTTTACAAACCCATGCAAATAATCTTGCGCAATTTCATCTTATAATGCATTATTTTCTGCAAAATTTTCTTTTTCTGTTTTAAAAAGAAAGCAACTTTTGATTGGTTCCTGCTCATTTGGTGGACATGTTTGTCTTCACCTCAATGCTACAGAGCTGCTCCTCTTGCATAATCAGGCAATTGATTATAGGAAAAGAACCCGAGGATCCAGCCACCTTGAACAGTCAATGCGTCCAAATTGTGAAAGATAACTAGGAGCATTGAGTGCATGCACTGCGGGGGTTCCAAATTATCGCCCTCCTCTTTTTGTGTCAGGGTTTTTCTTTTGCTCTGTCTCATTGCAGTCAAGTGATCCTAAGGTTCTTCAATAAGACCAAACAGAGGTACAGTATTGTGTGAAGCACCGGAGACTCTGGATAACACTGGATTGGCGTCAGGTCTAATGCCAACAACGTAGCCTGTGAAAATAATAGAGAAATGTTAAGTTTATATGTCTAATGTAAATGTTCAGTTCAGGTCAACTGATGTGCTTTAGGCACACTTCCCTAAGAATCTTTGAACGTTAGGCAGTTAATGAGTTCCTCAGGACTTTGATAAGAAGAGGTCTAAAACCTAGATCACTACGAAATCACCCTGGGGAAACCAGGTAGACAGGGGTTGAGCTCAGATACCTTTTTTGGAGCACTCTTGTTATTTCCTTGGTCTGCTTTTTTCTTGTTAAACTTATTTTGCCCTTTTCTTTAATCTCCGTTACTAACATGCTTTGGAAACAAACTAACATCATTCATGGAATGTGCCATTCTACTAACCAGTATGGGTTTTGATGGGTTTAACAATGTACTAACAGTATTGTCCATCATATATTATTATTATTATTATTATTATTATTATTATTTGAGTAACAATCGTTATTCTGTTCACAGTTTTTAATTTCCTTTCTCCCCCCTTTTCCACAAAGCACTCAGGCATTGGACACGCTATGGTAAACAAACTACATTGTTCGGTAGATATCATTCTAATTGTTTCTTAGTTTTGGTTTGCCGTGTGTTTCTTTTCTATTTTTTATTTTTATTTTTTACTGTAGACGTCATTTACAAAAAAGGGAAATTGCGGTTGGTAATCCTGCTTACTTTTTGAATCCTTTTTAATTTCCAAAATTATTCATTGGATTCACCCTCTTTATTTCACCTGTTTCCTGTCCAATTCTGTTTGACCCACCTTTTTAGGAGCTTCATTTTGAGCCTTTTGCATCAAGCTGTGGTTAATAATGAGGACCCTCTCCTGTCTGGCTGGCCTGATGCTCTGTGGCTCAGCCAGTTGTATCTCCCATCTACTTTGCATGGCATGCACTATCACTAATGGATGCTAATATCACTTCCCATTCATCAACATGAGTGTGACAGTTAATTGTCTTTGCTTGTGTTTTTTATACCTCACTGTGGTTTTGTGTTGTCTGTGAACGTACGCACGTGTCTAACACTGTGGTATCAAGTTGTCAACTACGTGTCCAAGTCATGGATGTGGGATTTTTTTCTTTTTGCGAACAAAAAGAAAAGACGAATGCATCCATGCTGCTTTTCTCCTCATCTACTGTTCTCATTGTGGTTAAAACAATGGCTGTGCTTCTCATGGCATGAGCTTATTCTCTAACCTGTCTGCACGTTCTTTATTGGTTTCTTTTATAAGTTACTGGACTTACTAATAGATGACAAAGTAATTAAACTAACCTAGTTAACATTCTACTAACACCATTTTTGTGTCTGCTAAATTACTTTTCAGTTGCAGTAAGGTGAATACTAACACTGTAGTGTGGGCAGTACACTAACTTTAACAAGATCAGTATTTTATTTTTTCTAAGGCTTGATGTCTAACAATCTACTAATCAAAACTGGACAAAATAATATTGACAAACAAGAAAAAAAGACAAAGACAACAGACATGAAAATGGGTTTAACTACATAAGGAATAGTGACATAGGCGACAAGATGAGAAAGGCAATAAAATCACAGAGTCTCTTATCTCCTAGTATAGCATGTCCTTTCCCTGTGCTTTGTTGTCTAGGTAACAATATCCGTCGATGGGATTCTGACCACCACGGGTTACACACAGGAAGACTACACCATGCTAGGCTCTGACGACTTCTTCTATGTTGGAGGAAGTCCTAGTACAGCTGACCTGCCCGGATCTCCTGTTAGCAACAACTTCATGGGCTGCCTTAAGGAGGTAAGCTGCAGTTCTGTGAGCACTCGGAGGCAGGTGGGTGTGCAGAGTATGAGTGGCTGCACCTTAGACAACTTCAACAGGCCTTCACACCCACACGCTGACCCTGTGGTCTCCTTTGACTTTGCTTTAGGTTGTTTCACCTCTTCCTACATACTGTGTGCTCTCACACAAACTTATTTTTGTATCTACCATCCCCTCAAGACTGATCATTTTATAAACACAAGGCGACCATGGTGAAGGATTCAGTGCTAATAAAGAAGTTAAGGACATTATTATATTTACTTTCAATGTTGACGAGGCTGTGAGCAGAATGAACATGTTAATTCAGAACCCCTGAATGTCTCATGTACCTCATGTCATGACTTTCATTTACAGCACCTTCTCTTACATTGGTCCTCCATAGACAGTCTGAGTTGTACTTTAATCTTTGAATATGAATTCTGTTCAAGAATCCCATCTTGAACAGATGGCTGTTGAACTTCATATACAGTATATAGCTCCGTTAGGTCCACTGAAAGATGAACAGCTGTTTTACACACTTTACATTCCACTAATCTCACAAAAGGGAAATAGACACTTGGTAAACACTGTTACTATAATCTATGGTCCCTTGGAATAGTAGTAATGTGTGACTTAGATATAGTCTCAAACCCATAACTGAAAACAGCACTGAAGTGTAGATAAAAACAACATCACGGGGAAAAAAATTCAGTTTATTCACTGTCAGGTGACATATTGATTTTAGCTTATTTGGTATCTTGGCTGTTTCCTGGTATAATGGGCCATTTGGGTCATGACTTGCACTCTGTTATTTGTCACTCAGACCTTTACTTGTGTGCAGCAGGACTCTAGAATTATATACTGTGCATGGCCTGTATTTTATCCCTAGAGATGAGGCGAGAGGCTGAGAAAGGAGTAATTTCTCCGATAGTGGGTTCATCAGTCATATCTTCGTCTTCACGCTGTCTGCTCATTTTTTTGTACATGCTTGAGCATTTGACTCAAGAAAAAAAAAACCCAATCGATTCCTTTTTAAAATTACGTTCACCTTATCTACAGTCTTACCCCCTCTTCCTTTCTGTGTCTCATCGTTCTGGTTGGATTTTTGTCGTATACCTAAAGCTTTTATCCTCGGGGAATATCAAGATGACTGAGACAGCTCTGCCTAATGAGGAGGCAGGTTGTGGACCACATGTCCACACTTCATGCACAGCTCATTAGAGGTCTAGATGTAAAGGAGACTATTTTAGTTAACAAAATGTCTCTGCTGCAAGAACGAGACCAGGGGAACCTTAACATGAGTATCCACCCCACTGAGCTGCCTCTGGTGCTCCAGCTCTGTCGACAAGGGCATATATATAACTTGCTTAAATATGTTATGCAGCGCTGTAATAGTTGCCCAGCGATGTGAGACGGAGCTTCTCGTCTTCTACTTGCTCGTATGATAAATATCAATATCTCCGAGAATGCACTTGCACTCTAAAAATCCATACTTGCTGTGTTGTGCATTGTTTTATTTTATTTCTGGCGTTTTAGTGCATTGACAACGGTTTCATGACGTCAGCGTCTGACCTGCTCAGTTTTAACAGATGCCCTGTCTCAGGTTAGCTGCTGCGTATGTCACAGTTACATATCAGCAGTGCTTTAACAGCATGTGCTGCGGCTTCAGATTGATGAGCTCTTCCCAAGTGACTCGTCACAGTGTTTGTGTGCTGATTCCGGTCTGAGGCACCACACCCGTGTGTTGGTTCTAATGACATAACAAACACTGGTGCAGTAATAGCTCAGCTGTCGGAGACCTAGTTTGATGACAAATTAGTGCAGCATTACTAGTGCAGCACCAGTCATAGCTCATACCAGAGCTCCTTTAACTGTAAAAGGTAGCCCTTGTCTAGACTATAGAGTATTGATTTGGGTTTATTGGCTGTATATTTCTGTTGCAACTTTAGTCCAGCATGTAATAATGTGCCATAAATATGCCCTTTAAATCCTAAAAATAAATTACATTGTTTTGTCATTTTAAAAACTTTATATACATATACAGTATATATTTGCTCTATAGTAACAGTGATGGTAATGCAAAAGCCTGCTTGTACATATTCTGTGTCTTTTTAAAGCAATTGGTCACAGAGCATTTACACAACAGTAGGTCTGAGTTCACCTACTTCTAATTCAGTGCTGTGAGCTTCATTTACTTGAGCAGTTAGCCGCAACTAAGTCAGTGATAATTTTGCATGCAAATGCGTTTTCATCCTGTTTCCTTTCAAATGCATAGCATGACAGCTGTAACTCTCTGAATGTGGCCTGGTTACAGCCAGCAGGATTTTAAATATCTCCACTGCAAATGCATGCATGTGCAGTAACCATCTAAACCAGCAGTTGTTCTGAAAATATCTCTGAGGTTTGTTCTCATTGGTCTGTTTGATAAATCAGTCCAGTAAAAATTGATTGATTGGATTTTTTCCTGTTATGTACTGTTAAAGCAATATTTACTGTTATAGCCACATTCTAACAGATAAACTTCCTATTTCATCCCCCTTTTAGGTTGTGTATAAGAATAATGATGTGAGACTGGAGCTGTCCAGGCTGGCCAGACAAGGGGATCCCAAGATGAAGGTCCACGGTACCGTGGCCTTTAAGTGTGAGAATGTAGCAACACTGGACCCCATTACTTTTGAGACGCCAGAGTCCTATATTGTTCTTAGTAAATGGAATGCCAAGAAGACGGGCTCCATTTCCTTTGATTTTCGAACCACAGAACCCAATGGTCTGCTTCTGTTTAGTCATGGAAAACCCAAGCAGCAGGCAAAGGATCCCAAGAATCCCCAAACTCTCAAGGTGGACTTTTTTGCCATTGAGATGCTGGACGGGCATCTGTACCTGTTGTTGGACATGGGCTCAGGAACCACAAAGACCAGGGCGGTGAATAAGAAAGTGAATGACGGGGAGTGGTACCATGTAGACTTCCAGCGAGACGGCAGATCAGGTAATTCAAAGCCCAGATGTTGTGTATTGTTGTAAATGTGAGTGTTTACAGCAAGTGATGAGTTATTATGATGGGATATTTTACAATTTACCACTTTCACTGCGACTGTATATGCAAATCATCTTTTATTCTGGAAGGTGCTTTCCTAAGACTTTTATTATGACAAATTATTGACACTTCAATAGGCATTCAGTTAGTTTGACATTTTATTTTTCTGTGATCCACGACCTGGTACCAGTCTGCGACCCGCTGTTTGGAGACCTTTGCTCTGAATAACTGTATAAAGTGGACACACATTTAAGAAGGAACTATCTGGTGTCCCATCATGTCCTTTGTGTCCCATGTTTCTCTGCTCTGGTCCCTGTTGATTTGCTTATCTAAGCAGCAATTTGTTAGCCTGTGCTTGGAGTCAAGGCCTCACAATGTCACGCTGCAAATTAAATATACCCCTTGACCATGTTTTCCACTCCATCTCAAGAGCTGGAAATTAGATTAAGTGTTTCATTACCCTACCAAAGCAGCAGCAGTTTGTGATCTATATTGAGCTCCACGTGTTATTTACAGCAGAGCCCATTTATTCTTTAGTATCCAGTGTAGGTGTGTGTTAGGTTATCCCTGTCAAAATAATATGCACCTCTCAATGTCCTCTGTTTAACATGAGGGGGTGAAAAAGTGCAGGAACATTTCTCACTTACCATCTATCTGCATTGACTCATCGACAAACCCACCATTGACACAGTTTTATTAAATTATATAGTGCCAGCAACCCCACATTGTCCTCCTGCACTTACTTACTTTAAAAATAGTGTAGCACACACACACACACACACATTATCAAACATCTTTTTTCTTAGTCGACCTTTTTGTACTTGGTGTTCTCACTGTCTGCCCTGCCTAAGTTTCCATGGAAACAGGAGGTGGTCTCTCCCAGGACTGAGACAGTTACTGTGCAGTTCTGTGCTGAGCTCTGCACTAATGACATTTCACAATAACTTTTCTTCCCTTTCTTAAGTCTGAGACACCGACACTTATGAACCGGAGTATGAGGAAGAACTCTCACACACTGGCATTTTTAGAAAGTTGACACAATGACAGTCACACCAAGCATCAAATTTAGCACATGAAAAAAAGATTCTCAGCTTTGCTTATCTTTTAGATATAAATAAACAGGATACAGTATCATACATTTGGCAAGGTTGGATCTCAAGGAGTCAGTGAACCGCACACAAACATGGTTGTTTGCAGTCTGCAGTGGAGTGTGCACTGCACCTCTATCGAAAGCAATAGAGTGCTTTGTGCAGCTCCCGTGTATAAATTCAGCCTGCCTACACTGAATTGTATATTTAACTGGTGACATTTTGTTAGAATAATTTTTCTTCATACAGTTAGTGTCATTTCAAAACAAGTCAAAAATAAGTTCGTCCTCCGAGACTATGAGTCACGAAACCTGTGGCGAGAACTGCTATTTCCCGCCTCTTTTTGCAAGTCCTTGTTTAATTCACAGTACATCACTCAAAACAAAAGTTCAACAGCCAGTCGTAATTATCAGCAGTCAGCTTCTTCGTGTGTAGCACTTTCTGCAGCTGTGACAATGTCAGATAATGATCCCTGGCCTATTTACTTCAGGAGGATATTCCTGCAGGAAGCCGGCCTGTAAATGGACTGCTCTCAGACAGTGTCTACTAACCTCAATGCATTAGAGTGAATGAGAGACACTCTGCTTCTAAGTGAGGGCTTCTGCACCAACGATGGGGATCAGTCAATGGAAACGCTTCATGGACATTTGTCTGTTGTAGTGCCACTTCCTGCCTGGATGTTTACACCACTGCTTTAGCTTCAGCACATGAGCACTGACACGTGTACTGCACTAAACACACACAGCATATACCCCCATCCTCACAGCCCACTCACCAGCCTCTTTCCCCACAGAGAATCTAATCACATAGAGAGATTTGGCCGTATCAACCTAACTGGATTGTAGTAATCCTCTGTCCAACATGTTTTGGGAAAGTGTGAGTGTAGTTAGAAAACATCATGCCACGTTGAGCTCTACTGCTGATGCGAAAAGTCCTAGAGGCGTCTGAGTTGTCAGGGTGCCAGTTCAGAGACCCAATACTCCATAACGTCTTTTCACCACAACAAGCTGTGTGTCAGAATTTTTGTTTTCTTCCTCCAGTTTGGTGTATCATAGTCCTCATGAGTAGTTTATTAAAGTAGGTCAACAATGTCAGAGGTATTTTAACATCAGGGACAAACACAAGATTTACTGTTAGATTTCACGTTCTACGATACAGGTCACTTTTTATTATTCAAAAGTAAAATATTTGTTTCTGTTTTGAAATCAGACTACTGTTAATGTGAAGAAAAAAAACGATAACCATTTTCTTGCTTGTTGTCCTCACTGTGGTTTCCCCTCACCTTGCACATTAGCCAATTTCTCACAGGGCTGTGGCGAGTATATAACACTGCTTCCCAGTGCATTCATGTATATCTTGACAGTCCTAGTGGTCACATCCGGTCTTGATCATTTTCTTCACTATGCATTCTGTTTTCGGTTTCTTAATCATTTTCTTCACTATGCATTCTGTTTTTGCATGTGGAGATAATGTTCACTGCTGTTTCTCTCTGAAGGTCCCTTATCTGTCATTGTGTACCCTTCTCCCATCATCTCCCAGACATCTTTATCTCAGTGTTCCCATCTTGTTCCACTTCAGTGTCCTTTTCTATAATGCATAGCAGTATTCACAGGGACATAGTCCCCTTTTTCCTATAGAATGTGACCAGGATTCCAAACATAGGCTGTGCCACACTGTTAAGTGTACGTATGTTAGATTTTCTATGTTACAAAGGTGGTGCTGGTGGTGGAACAGGTCCCCTGGGATTGTATAGTGCCTTTCGATTTAACACAACTTGACTGTGTTTACACACTTCCCTACGCAACTTTGGCAAGTAAGCAGAACACTCAAAGCTGATGCGTCAAAGAGGATGACATCCGTCTCTTGTCTTACACTTGCATCAGGTTCGACACACGTGCTTGAGTATTTAGGAGCATCCTTTCTTGTTTGTTCAAGGATGGCGTATGACTGTACAGTACAGTAGAGGTTCAAAGAAGAAGGCATCAGAATATACTTACTGTAGAGTGTACTTCGTCAACGCATACTTTAGAGATAGGATGAAAAATGAATGGAGAGTGGATAGTTCCATCACAAATCATGCGGAGCATAATTTTTCAGCCGGGCACCAGCTCTACTGCAAGAAACCCGCTAATGAGTTTGATGTAGTGAGCTCGTTAGCTATAACCTGAAGGGAGCTGTTCTGGCTGTGTGACGGGTGGCCCTTGCCAAGTGTGCAAGGCTTAGAAGTCACAACAGCTGTGGATGGAGAGAGCAGGGCCAGTGGGTGGTGGCAGGGAAGTGCTGAACAGATGCCTGGGGCCAAGACCTGGAGAAAAGCGCTGGAACACATTATTGGTAGCAGGTTAATCATTGTGCGCTCAGTCCTTAGCTGTCTCTCTCAGCCTCTGCAGCAAGGCAAGCTCACCTTGGCAACAGAAAATCTACTACATCAAATTTATTATATGTTTTTAGAATTTTTAAATATGTTCTTCTTTCACGCCGACCTTTTGAAGGTTATACTATTTAATAAATATTGCAAAAAGAAACTGAGATTCCAATCTTTTGTGTGTAGTCAAACTATTGTATTTTTTGTGTGTGTTTGTTTAGGATTAATGTATATTGTTATTTAAACACTTTTAAACAGGTACAGGTAAAAATAAATAATACTGAAGGAGGCGACATGAGCTTCTAATACCTTTGAAACACTTATAGGCAGTTTTGGCTGTTTCTGTTGTGCTTTCACTTTCAGTGGAGAATGAAGTTTGTTCATCAGCTGTCCCCTCCCTTACTGTCACCTCTGTTTTGATTATGATGATGTAAATTTAATAGATAGAACACTTAGATAGAACACTGATGTTTATGACCAAAATAAACACTGATGCACACTTACTGGTTTCATTTGTGTCTCAGTATGTGAAGCAACGCAGCTAAAAATTCATGTGTGGCTCACGGCTTGTTTCCTCCAACATGAATGTTTAAAAGCTGTTGCTGCTCCACTCCACTTACACACAGGTATGAGACTGCCTTACAGCCTGAGGCAGTCAGCCACCGTTTCCTTATACCTCCCATGCCACGCATCTGCCACTCAAAATGTAAATTATTACTTCATGGCAATTTATTTTGAGCATCCTAAGCCAGCCATTTCTTTGTCACTCACTCCCGGCCCATGTGAGCAGCCTGTTATATTGATGACTGGACGAGGATGCTGGCAGTGAATGTGGCTACCATTAATTAAAGATCCACAGTGGCTCTGGCTCAGAGAGTAACAGATCTATATACAAATGAATCACCGGACGTAGTCCCTGTGAATGTCTTCTGCTGTTACTAGAGCTTTACAGTCCAGTCATGTCCACTGTTGTTTACTGCGCTCCAGATCGAGAATTAAACCTGAATGAGAGTGATAAATCATGGTGGGGATACACATGAACTCCCAATACAGGTTTATGTGTTGGAAATGCAAATAGAAGCGAAGATGGCATGAAAAACAGATTCTGCAGTTGTTAATTGAGTCTAAATAGATGGCTACAGCGTTGTTTTGTTTTTTTTTGCAACTTTTTTTCTTATTGTGTTGTTTGGTCAGCTAATATGATAGAGGAGCAATGATTTGTCTTTACACATCCATTTTTTTAATGACTGCTGCTTTATAGATAAAGGAGATTTATGATGGGAAATCCAAGGTAAATGGAAAGGATACTCCTAGGGGTTTCAGATTAGGAGTAATAGACTAACCGTCCAGTGATTAATGGTCTTATCAACAGTCATCAATCATTCTAAATAAAGAAAATCCTTATCTTGTCCAGATTGATAACACTCATTAAGCTAATTCCTTTTTCCAACTATTTTAAGACATCTTTATGGTGTTGTGTCTTCTGGGCAGGTGCTTTTGACATTAACATATGAATGTTTGGTGACAGATCTCAGAGTTATTTGAAAAGACTAATTTTTTTTGTTTTGTTCTGGCTCTAACTTTTTAGGTACCATCTCTATCAACACACTCCGTACTGCCTACACAGCACCCGGAGATAATGAGATCCTGGACCTGGACGACAGTCTGTACCTTGGGGGTCTACCAGAGAACAAAATGGGGCTGGTGTTCCCCACAGAAGTGTGGACAGCGCTTCTCAACTATGGTTACGTGGGCTGCATCAGGGATCTGTTCATCGATGGACAGAGTAAGAACGTGAGGCGCCTGGCTGAGTTTCAGAAGGCTGCTGGGGTGAAGCCCTCCTGCTCTAAGGAGCCTCCAAAACAGTGTCTGAGCAACCCATGTCAAAACAACGGTGTCTGCAGAGAGGGTTGGAACCGTTATGTGTGTGATTGCTCCGGCACTGGGTTCCTGGGACGGTCCTGTGAAAGAGGTAGGACTTCAGTTTGTGTCTCCTTTATTTTTCTTTAACTTTGGCAGCACATTATTTACAGTCTGGTGGACTTAAAACTTAGATTTGAAATGTTTGACAACTCTGCACTGACCCACACTGGCACTTCACTGTGTCTTGGCCTCTGAGGTGGACATGCCGTCTCAGAGGTTCAAGCAAAATGAGCTCTTTTACAGAAGGAGATGAGGCGTTATCCGCTAAGATTTTTGTCTTAACGGGACAAGAGCTTGAATGTAATGTCTTGCATCCCGGCTACTGGTGTAGCATTAGCAGCAGACTGAAATAATTGCAACTAAGGTGTTGTCATTTGGAGATGGAAAGCCACGCAACTGCAGACAGGATGAGTCAGGGTTTGTTAAGGTTTGACTGGCTGATGTGGGCCCTGGTTGAATGGCAGGTGACTGATGGACCCCTGAGGTGCTCCTGCTCATGTCCACTTTGTACGCCAGCCTGTAAATTGTCTGTCTTCTTCTAACCATTTGGCTCATCAAACCACTCACTCATGACCAGACCTGGTGCAGAATACCTATCCTTTTCCCCTTCCACCGAAGAGGAATTAGAGAAGCAAGTGTCACTCTGCAACTTTTACGGCTCCGTGACTCAGATAGCATTTACCCAACTCTGCAATACTTTATTACAAGGGAAGCGCAGTTTTATTAGTGTGCATAGCAAAATAAAACCATAACTATCGTCTCAGAATCCCTCGGCAGACTCCAAATGTACTTCTTTATAAGCTGTATATGTGTTTGTCTATATAGAAAGAGCTACATTTGCTTGAAGGTCCCCTTGAGAGCCCACTCTGTCTGCTGTATTTTGTTACTGTATCTGTAATGAAGTTGAAGTAAGAGGCAGCCATAAGAGCTCCTCCCTGCTTATGAAGGCAATTCTTGGCATCCTGTATATATATATATATATATATATATATATATATATATATGTATGTTTCGTAAACCAGGGGATTTTCTTTTGGCTGCTGAGATTGGAATTTGTGGCCGGGATTTATACCAATACCACCTGGATGTACCGTTAAGGCTACTCCTTGTTATGATGCAGTTGTTTCAAATTTATATTCTTTTGGATTTTGAGTAGACAGTTGGGTCAATGTATTTTGTGAAATGCTTTTAAGTATTATATTTAAATTGATGTGAATCAGATTAGAGATTAAAGGTTAGGTTTTGATAATATAATAGAATACTGTTAATTAATTTGTGAAACCAGATTAATATTATGAAGTGTTCTAGATGCAGATGATGATTAAAATTCACCAAATCTGTGAAGCAAATTTTGAGTTCTACTTGAAATTATATTTTAATTATTTGTTATACTTTTCTTCACATTGTTCCATATTTATAATTACATTATTGAGGATAATGATAATGTTAAACATACATTTACCTGCTGTTATTTGTCTTTTTGCGTTCTAGCAATTTACTGAAATATTCTGTTATTTAATAATAAATTCTTCATTTAAATTAGGTTTATCGCACTTGTCAAAATACATTGAATTAAACCCAAAACCCTCAACACTGCCTGCTCCAACGCTTAGTTTTATTTCCAGGTTTTTTGACAGATGTTCTGTGTTTCTGTGAACATCCCTGAACGGTTGTTACTTTTTGACATGTGTCTAAAAACACATTTCCAGGAATGAAAGAAAGAAAAGAAAAGAAAAGAAAAACCCTGAAAACATAACTTATTTAAACTTTTTTTTCGTTAAACATAAAGTCATTTATTAATAGATAGACGTGTGTCGTTAACTGGCCTGCCTGCAGTCCACATCTGTCATCTATCCACAATGCCTGTAGACCTGCGATCCACTGATCAAACTGCACTTTTATCACTTCAGCTGTCTAATAATTAAAAGTGAAGTAAAAGGTTTTGTTTTTTTGCCTGTTAGTTGAAGCTTCCATGAATACTGAGCTACGGTTTTAAGACACTTTAAAGAAGTGTTTATGTTTGAAGTGGGATTTTAATTAGGAAGGACTTTAATGGCCACACTACACATGTAATATGCAAGATGAAACATATGGTGGTATACATTTGGAATTAAAGACCTGGAAATAATTAAACACACATACATATAAATATATATGTGTGTGTTCTGCAGAAAAACAAGCAAACAAACTGTTTATTTATTCATTTTAATATGATGCCATTTTACTCGTATGTTGTTGTAGCTATATACAGTATATATATATATTTTTTTAAATGACTTCACCTGGCCACTGTGCATTTTCCGTCCTACATGTTGCAGAGCTGTCATGACCTATGACCTTCTGTCCTCCTCCTCTTACCTTCCAAACATCTTTTGCCATAGCTGCTCCTCTGTCCAATTTTCTATTTTTCTGCTTCCTCTGCTAAGTGCGTGAGACTAACAGAAGTGTGAGTTGCAGCATTGTTATGGAGGATGGGTCCTAGTGTGCTGCCAGCTGTTTTGATGGCTCCAGATTGCCTCTGCACTGGTAGCATGAAGCAAGCACCAGTAGGCCAGGGAGCTGTCAAAAGAATTACCCCAGCTCTCATTTATCCATGCATGGTGTACCACCCGGTGGCAAACTATAGCTACTGCATATGGTGGAGGAGAGGGAGGAAGGAGGAAAAACAGGAAAGAGGTGGAGTTTTGGGAAGGAATTATCCTCCTTTTTTGTGAGATTTTAATTAAGCAGACAAAGCAATTTCCTCCTCTCACATCCCAATTGTCTTCCCCTTTATTGTTCCTCCAGTTGCTAATTAACCCAAATATTAGTCTTGCAGCGTGAGGCTACGACCGCCTCCCAGATGGTGAAGTAGGTGCTTTGCAGAACATGCACGTATTCCCTAATGAGATATGACATACTCAGTTTCAGCACTGAAATCACCTGCATTATTTCACATGGAGAGGAGCTGCAGTAGCAGCAGTACCTCTCACTTATACTGGACACACACACACGCAACTCCATACGATGTGCACTTGTTATTTAAATAAGGAAAGAAGGAACGAATATTTGAAGCCCTGCTGAGTCTGTAAGTTTGTTCGCTTAGAAACAAATGAACAGTGCCTAGTATTTATTGATATTTAAAAAAGACAATACTACCCCAAAATACACATTTGATTAAGGTAAAAATAAAAAAGTGTTTTATCCCCTGACACTTATCAGTCCATGTGGAGGCAGGTGTCTAGGAATCAATGAATCCGGGGCTTTTGATATTCCTGATTGCATCTTATGTGCATATTAATTTTTCGTTTTATTATAATATATTTTCTCTGTGTTTTTGGTGATATTTTTTTTCTCTCTCCATTAGGATTTAAGTAACATAAAAAGCTCCGTTCATTAGCTTGTAGGTGAGCGAACCAACATACTCAGCATGGGTCAAAGAAATCTTTCCCCCACTGTATATGTTTTATAAATGCTAAAGAGAACTCATATCATCATTAGATGTTTACCATATTAGGTATATTCATATATCATGAAATACTAATATGTCTAAACGGTTAATAAACATCTTTATTCAAAGTGTAACACCACATACAGCGTTAGTCTAGTGTTGGAGGTCTTTATTGTACAGGAATGTCCAGAGAATGTCGTTTAATGTGTTAATAATTGAATTAAATGTTAATTCCCCTTTAATGCCCTCAGTGGGCTGACAAATCTAATTATCACCAGCTGAGTCTTTACCACCCCGGCTGTCACATGTGCCCTGACAGCAGCAGCTGAAGTTGCACATCCTTGCCATATTCTGTCTATTTGTAGTCATCATAACAATTTTGTACACTCACAGAGAATCACATGCGTGCATGTTACGTTAAAGAATGCCTGTTGGCACGCTGCAAAATGCACTTTCCCATCCCTTAAATCCACTCACATGTCAGTGTCATCTTTTTACACATTTGCAGCCTCCAAGTATATTTCTAGGCTTTGGTTTAACAGGATGCTGAAAAAAGGCTGTGTGAAGAAGATGTGGACAGCTTTGAATAATTTATATCGCTCAGCCCAGTTTGCTATTTTTTTTTTTACTTCTCCAGTGTTTATTGTGGTTGTTCAACATACATATTCCAAAGGCCTTTGGCAGTTGTTTTCGGGGAAATTGTGAATTGAATTGGGGCCAGTGCCCTGACACCGTGAGACATCACAATCCTGTGACATGCAGCTGACAGCTTCGCTTTGCCTGTGAGCCTGTTAAGCTCAGGGGGAGAACGGAGGAGGGTTTGTCTGTTTGCTCTAACTCCTCCTGTTGGTTTCCACTGTGCCGTTTGTTTACCAGAATATCCCTCTCTCCATAGTTAAGATATAAAAATGTCAATGACTAGTTGTTCTTCATCAGACATAAAATAAATGCCCGGTTTGGTTTGGTTTGGTTTGCTATGCTCCGTCTCCTTCCTGACAGCTTCCTGTTGGGTTTGCTGGCACAGGCAGAAATTCCAGCTTGAGTCCCTTCACTTTATCCTGATATTAAACACTGGAGTTCCATAACAAATGATAGGGCCTGCCGGATTGCGTTTTTGACAGCTGCTCACTTTGCATTAGATGATGATTCCTTCACATGTCACTCTCCATTCTCTCATATCTGTTTGAGAATGTTTTTTTTTTATTTATGGCATTTAAGGCGTCTCACATAATCTGAGGAGAGCTGGCATCTCAGATGAAACACAATATTTCCTCCACCATGTGTGATTTATTCTTTCCATCTGATGTAAAGAAAAAGCGATATTGAGTTGTAGTAAATTGTCACATTACGTTCCATTCTTCATCCACCTCAGTTTTTGTTTTTTTATTCAAAATAGAAACTATTCGACCTCCATTGTGTTCAGAAAATGCACACACTCACTTCAGCTATTCATCACCATACTGAGAGATTTTTTTTTACCTTGAACATTTTTCATAATGGATCCTGATTCACACTGGCATTTTTAAGGCTGCAGGCTTGATGCTTGAAAAGGAATTTTCTACAGTGTAACATTCCCAACTGTCGCTGGTTGTTTTGCAGCCGTGCTTTTCATCCTCTGCCTTTCGTGCAAAACGTACACATGAAGGACTGATCTGCACATACTGCTGACAATCACGTACAGCACATTAGTTAAATGTGGCAAGAAAATGCTCTCATTGTGTGCATGAAACATTACTGCGATATAAACAGGAGTTTCTTTTTTTGGCATCTGCTAATGCAGCGCTTTGCTGTAGTAGCCTGGCAGGAAGCAGTTTAGCGATGAGAAACTTGTTTGTCACTTCCCCCTTCAGCTTCAGCACACCCCAGGAGGGTGAGGCAAAACATGAATTTAGGGGAGGAATATGACAGAGTCATGGCGGGGTATGGATGTGACATTGGCTCCATGTGACGAGGTGGTGGTGATGAGGTGTGTTGTGTGTACAATGGTACCCTGTCACCCCCACTGCCGTCCATCTACCAGCGCTTCAGCTCACCCCTTCAATCTGTTTCAGCACTGCAGCTGCTGTAATAGCTTTGTTATTGGTTTTTGGTTTAGTTACAGCACCAGAAATGCTGTTACAACCTCCTGCCAGCGTTAAGCAATCTCCACAGCGTCCTCCAAATGGCTGCCTAATGCCATGAGTAAATGCAGTCACAGAGCAGAAGCTCAATATTCAAGGTCTTTCTACTGTTTCACTTTTGTGGCCGTATTTTCTTATTCAATAGTACTGCCTAATAGCATTCAAAAACTGTGAATGTTATCGTCATAAAAAATGATATTTTTTTGTTTTGTGTTTTCACATTTTTCATAATCCCAATGCAAGAACAATTTGAAAAACAAGAGGAGTGCTGGGACTAAAAGGTCAAACGGTCTTTACTAAGATTTATTTTAACTGCTTTTATTATCTCAGCAGTCATTTGAACATTAATTAATCTAATTGTTACAAATGGCTTGAGCACAGAAAATGTCTCAAAAAAAAAACGGCATTTATAATTTCATCAGTTTGGTTACTGAATAATTGAGCTGCCTGAGGAAAAAAAATCTTTATTTATTAATGTATTTGTCCTTGCACCGTCTACCAGTTTGTTTGTGGTAAGACTGAGACAATAAATATAACACACACACACATATATATATATATATATATATATGTATGTATGTGTATATACTGTATGTATATATATGTATTTGTATATAATATATATATATATATATATATGTATGTGGGTGTGTAAATTCTCTAAGGCAGCCACAATGTTCAATCACTATATGGAATCTTACCCAGCCCTTTCTTCTTTTCTGTTTACTCTTCAACAGAAGCCACAATCCTCAGCTATGATGGCAGCAAGTTTATGAAGGTACAGCTGCCTGTGGTGATGCGCACAGAAGCCGAGGACGTGTCTCTGCGTTTCCGCTCCCAGCGAGCCTACGGCATACTAATAGCCACCACGTCCCGCGACTCGGCTGACAGTCTGCGACTGGAGCTGGAGAGTAGTCGTGTCCGCCTGACTGTCAATTTAGGTAAAGCTTTGGACACTTACTGGCTGCTGCAAGACACATCGTAAAAGAAAAAAAAACAAAAAACATAAAAATGATTTAAAACAGTCGTAAAAGAAAAAAAAACATAAAAATGATTTAAAACAGTGATAAATCTTTTGTTTCTCTGTCTCTTTCTCACTGCCTTTCCCTGTCTTTCTTACAAACACTATATTTACCAATACATGACTGATGTTAAACATATGGAATAGAAGGAGATGCTGTGAAAACTTTCAATGACAGGAGTCTGCGGCTCTCCGCTCACTGCCAGTTGAGCACACAGCTTCAGTGGCCCATCAGGGAATGCTCACGCCAGCTGACCTCATATCAACCACCCTATGTGTTTTTTTACCCCACAGGGATACCGATCATTGTGGACATACTACTTTATTCATTTTGTGGTCTGATCTGGTCTGTCAGATTTAGAACTGGTCAAAATCTGATTCACATGGAGATACAAATATTTCCAGATTATTTTTCATAGCATTTAATTTACTATTATTTCATTTGCACAGAGTTGTTTTTGTCTCTGTGAAGGCTCTACACACATGCTCGCACACAGTTTGCAAACATTTAGCAACACTTTTGGTAAGTATGTGACTTTGCCTTTTTCTTGCCTTATTAATAGCAAGCAATTTAATGACACCACGTCAAATTTTCATATCTCCCAAATGGAGTTATCTCATATTAATGGCAGTCATCTATTTCTCCTTTCCACTGGCTAAATAGAACCAGACTCCCTCAGCAGACCCACTTAGCCATGCATACAAAGTAGGCGTTCTGAGCCCTTAAACACCAAAAGCACATGTTCCAACTCTGTAGACAGCTGTGCCATACAGTGACACAGATACGGATATCAGGAACTGAACAGAGTTGTGTTTTTTCTTATTGATTTTTGTGTTTTCTTCCATTTATTCATTGAAGCTTGTCAATTTCATCACACTTTCATCACAAAAACGGAGCATTCCCTGCAAAGGCAAAGCTTGTGTTGGTCTCTGGCTGTTTGCGACCACTTTTCTGCGATGGTTGACAACACACAACAGGCAGGGGCAAATGGAAAGGAGGAGTGGGTGTTTGATCTGGATCACCTTTACACTAGCATGAAACCAGCTGTAGAAAAAAGTGGAAATGAAAAAAAAAAATAGTCTGGAATGAATGCATTTAGTGACAGAAATGTATTTGATATTTTTTTTTACCATACCTTTTAAAACACAAACACATCATATTTTTGACCGTAGACTAATATAGGAGATGATTCTAACAAAGTGTTTTAACTGTATTTGATGCTGTAGCTGTCAGTGGTCGTCTTCAAATGTTGAAACCTAAAGGTTTCCTAAAGACAATCTTTTTTAAGCCTGAGGGTCAAAATAGCAACCAGCCTTAATTATTTGCTTTTGGATAGTTGGAGGCTGCAACCAATCGATACTGGATTATTGAATTAGCTAATCAGCAGTCAGATATACAAATTTCACTCATAACTTTTATGCCATTCTCTCAAGGGGAGAGAATGGCATAAAATAAAATGGGAATAAAAGTAATAGCAGTGGTGAAACAGAACCCAAAGACTTTCCACTTGGCCCTGTCTGACACTGCCTAAACCCTGATGCTCTCCTACTGCAGATTAGATAATGAAAAGACCTCCCAGCTCGAAATAAATCCTGTTTTCTTGGAAAAAACCAACTCAAATGTCGTTATCATACAAAATATCTTAACATGCAATCTGAGATTCACCGTTCCACATTACAGGAACCTACATTAATGTAGAAAAAAAAAAGGTGCTGAGCTCCTCTGGCACAGTTCCACTGCAGTGTTCTTCTCAGTTGGCTGGGACCTTGTGTGGGGACATCAAAGGATGGACAGTGTCTGTGTGTGTGTCCCCAGAGGGGTGGACTGTATACTTTATTGATGTCTGCAGCTGTAACGTTGAAAGATGAATTTATCTCTCATCTATTCTCCCCCATCTAGATTGTATCAGGATTAACTGTACCTCCAGTAAGTTACTGTTCACCTTTACTTTCTCTCTCTTTATGCTCTATTTTGGTCTGTGAGTGTGTTACGCTGTAGCCATGTTTACAGTTTATTCTCCCGACCTGGATTACCATCCCTCATATTTAGAGGTACTAAAGCTGAGCTTTCCATTCAGTGCAATAAAAGCATATTCAATTTGCACCTTGCGTTGACAGAGACAGAACATTTTATCATACGGAGTGAAATTGCTCTGTAGTGTTATGTGCATCAGCCGTCTGGCAGAATAATGAGCAGCGGGGTGGAGACAGAGGGAGGCTTAAATTAATGACAAACCCAAATATGGCAGCAATTCCACACGCCCAGTTGTTTCTAATTAACAACCCCCTTTTTCACTCCTGTATTCAGGCTGATATAAAATGCATGATTTGAAAGCGCAGGCATTTCAGACGAGCCAAATTCCCCTGTCACTCCCTCACACCCCCCTCTACTTCAGTTTATCGCGGCGGTCGTAAAGTGATGAGGCCATTTGGGGAACAGAGGAAATACAGAGTGTGATTTTAATATTCTCATTAACCTGCCTCACAGAGCAGAAAGACAGGGATGGAGATGGAGGGGGAGAAAATAGATCTTGTTGTCGGATCCACAGCGTGGATACGCCGCTGTGCGTGTTTGTGTGCGCGTGTGGGCTTATACAAAAAGGTTACATTGCAATATTTTGGAAGGTAAATACCCATGACATCTATTATGCAGGAACAGTGATGAATTAATAATTTCTTCTCCACAGCCAAGGTGGTGGGGGTCTTCTTTCTGAGGTAACTGACAGCAAATATAAACAGAAATTAATCAGAATACACAGTAATCAAGTGGGACCAACACAGTGTTTGAGTACATCTACTTAAACTATGACTTTTTGGTTCTTAAGCAGAAAATCTGAAAATATTTGGGGGTCACTGCCTCTTGAGAAGCAGGGACTAACAACAAAATAAATAATCCCACAATGTGACCTCTAGCCAGCCCTCTTTAACACCTTTCTAAATGCTAAATAGCTTAGTTTGGGCAGGGAGTGTTGAACCCTTTTGTTTGTGTTTGCAAATAAAAGGCTTGAAGCTTTATTATCTTCCTGTGCCACTTTGAAAGGTCATTTTGTCTTATGATAGTTTTATTTTTAGTCCACTGTAGACACCGATCACCATTTAATCCCTTTATAACAGTATGATTACCATGTTGTAGTGTTATATTTTATCCAGGTCTTTTTATGTCATTTGAAACTATTTTTACAATAGTAATGTGGTCTAAAAAATACACAATAATAACAGGAATAAATATTTTTTCCCAACCACAGACTAGACTGTGACTAGTCTGTTTGCAGTGTAAGAGCTTCAACAGACATTAGCAACATAGCAAAATCAAGTTTATAGTGTGTTTGAAATGCTCGTTAAATCCCACCGGTGTGCGTTCATTATGCCAAATCTTCGTCCCTGATTTAGGTTAATGTACTGTGTTATTAATGAAGCCTATAAATACCTGCCTTGACTCCATGTTTCAATAGACCATTTACATAATTTATATCTGCCTCTAAAAGGGAGGGAATCTTAGCACCATTTAAAATGTCTTTAAATGGAGCTAAGCTGCTCCATAATTAGAAGTGGAAATTATTGTGAGTCAATCAAGTTAATGTTTAATTAAAATGGAGGGAGAAAAGCACAGCTTTCATAATAGATCCCGACCTGATTGTGTGTTGAGAAAATGGTTCGGTGAACTTCTAGGGTGTGTTGTTTGTATTGGTGATAGCCTTGAATTCATTCATTCACTCATTCATTTGTTTGTCGGTTGCTTCTTTGTTTGAAATTTAGAGTTAATTTTATCCTGACTTTTTTTCTTTGCCGTGTTAATTAATGTGGCTCGTCAGGCGTTGCAGTGCTGGTCAGCCTGCTGGATGAAGAGTTTCACTACAGAACAACAAATCACTGTTTATTATGGGCTTGGACTCCCCAGGGTGTCCCAGAGCTGTCTCCACACAACACTGACACGCTGACTAAAATATTGTTAATAGGTAGTGAGTGACAAGACACAAAAATACAGTCTGGAAATATGAAGTGACAGATGGTCTGGTGAAATTGAATGGTTCCTTTATTTACACTGCAGGATAATTACTGTTGACCTTCCATAGAGATGATGTGGGATTGTTTAAAAGTCTCTGCGTTACTGCATGAAACAGAAAGAACTGCCTGGATGCTGAGCATTGGCGACAGCTTTAAGATGTCAAGGGAAATCAGCTACATCCAGAATCTATTAAAAAGAATTATCCAAAAGTAAACTATACTATTTATTGTATATTTTATTAACTGATAATGCACCAAAATAACTTAAATATACTTCTCTACTGGGATTCAATGAGCAACTGTGTATCTGCAAAAACAAACACTCACATATATATATATGTGTAATGTCAGGCTATACAAAGACAGCAGTTTATAAGCTGCGATGTGATGAGTCTCCAATGGTCACATGAACATACAGTGTCTACTTAAGAAGACTTTGATTGGCCGAACAGGTCTCCTGCTGCAGCATGATAGCATTCTTAGTTTCCCTATCGATGTTGCGACATTTTATTTTAGATTTGTTGGTCATGCTGTAGTGGTAGTGTTGGGCTGCTGCCTAGATGCCTGGGAAGAGAAGAATTGGTTCTTTTTCCATCCACCCTGATGAGTCACTGTGTTGGTGGAGCCGACAGCGCCAATCTCTGGCCTGTCATTCAGCCAGCCGGAGCAGATTGACTGGATAATGTCATCGTCTCAAGCCTGGTGCCTAAAATTTCCACTTTTCCCATGGGTCTAAAGTCAGACAGTTTGAAACAGAACACTAACGCTGATAAGACTACGATCAGTAGGGGCAGTAGAGAGAGAGATGGACACGGCCGTAATAGACTGCGGCGTTGTAACATAGTATTTGTTTTCTTGGAGGTCAAAAAGAAAAAGATGATGGACGAACAAGCAGATTTTTAAAGCCTTCTCCATTTCACATCATCTCATAACTCCCCTCGCTGATCCTTTGCCAGTCGTCTGGTTTCAGTCCAGCCCACTGTGAGGTGCTACAAAGCAAAGCTGTACATCTGAGACCAAGTGCATGCCAGTGTTTTGCAGTTCTTAGGGTAGTTTCGCAGCTTTGAAGAATGCAAAAGAGAGATGATAAAAGGCAGAAATGGTGTACGAGGGGAATCAATCTGGCACCCATTGAAATGCCGTCCACAGTGACTAAGGTGTCCAGAGCGGGGGGAAATGAATACTCCCACAGTGATGGATTCTCTGTGGACTGTGTCCTCATGAGAGGAGCAGCAGTTCTGAGGTGCTCTGAGATGAAGGAAAAGAAGAATTAATGTAAAAACCAAACCAAGTGGCCTATAGAAATCACACACTGTATTTCCTGCCATTCTGAGTGACACTGATCTGCCTGTTTTTCATTGACTGCCTTTTTTAACCACCACGCACACATCACTCTCTTCTTTCCCCCTTTCTTTGAATTTAGTAGACCTAAAAAATCGAACAACGTTGCATCCTCAGTAAACAAGATGGAGAGTGAGCCCCATTCAGAGCTCGGTCTTTTAATAGTAATATGCTGCCACCAAGTGGTGCCATATGAACTAGCAGCTCAACTGATCACGTCGATATAAAACCTCACAGAAAATAAATTCGGCCCACTGTCTGATAGTGCTGCACAGATAATAGAAATCCTGATAATGTGTTGAAACAGTTTCTGTTTCTGTCCTGCTGCAGGTCGTTATTTCTATGATTATATTTATTTCTTTTCTTTCAGCCTCTCTAGCCTGTGTGTGTGTGCGTGGTTGTATGTGTGGGCAAGGAAGCGTGTGCATGTGTGTTAACCACTGTCTGGACTGTCCAACAGGCAAAGGCCCAGAGACTATTTTTGCTGGTCAGAATCTGAACGATAATGAGTGGCACACGGTGCGTGTGTTCAGAAGAGGCAAGAGTTTGAAACTGATGGTAGATGATCTGCCACCTGTAGAAGGTACTTTTTGTCATTCTTTTTTTTTTTTTTTTTTGCTAACATCATCGTTGTATGAACTGTTTTATTCTTTAATCATGGATCACTTGGAAGCTGTGGTATTGTCATGCTGCTGGTTTGGGTAAGACTGAATTGTTGAGAGGTTTACAGAAAAAAAAATTATATATATATATATATATAATGTTTGTGTATAGCATTTGGGCCACAAGCTGTTAAGTTAAACACAGAGCTTCCATACTAGTGTTACCTTGGCAACACTATAGTCATTGTTTATATATAGTCTATAAATGGAACACAAAATGCACCACTTTTTTATTTAAAAAAAAAAAAACTTTTCTAAACTCACTATGACACCTGGATTTTGTATTCCCTTTCCCTCTTCTTCTGACAACCGAAGGTCAAATGGCAGGTGACCACACCCAGCTGGAATTTCACAACATTGAGACGGGCATCGTGACAGAGAAGCGCTTCCTCTCCATCGTACCGTCCAACTTCATCGGCCACCTGCAGAGCCTCTCCTTCAACGGCATGCCCTACATTGACCTGTGCAAAAACGGCGACATCGACTACTGCGAACTCAACGCCATGATTGGCTTCAAGAACATCATTGCTGACCCCATCACTTTCAAGTCGCGCTCCAGCTACGTGACCCTCACCACCCTGCAGGCCTACTACTCCATGTACCTTTTCTTTCAGTTCAAAACCACCTCCTCAGATGGTCTCATCCTCTACAACAGTGGTGATGGGAATGACTTTATTGTAGTGGAGCTGGTCAAAGGGTAAAGAATACTCAGTTGTACTTTGTTTTTACAGGCTATTATAAATGCATGTTGTTTCTTCTGTATTATAAAAGACGTATTTATATCAGTATTGAGGAGAAATGTTTGATGTACGGTGGATTTAGGTTTTAATGCAGCTGTTGTGTCTGTGTCTCAGATCCTCTTTAAATCCCAGCTCGTCTGTATTTTTCTACCTGAGCTGCTGACAGGTGACAGGTGCAGCAGTTGTGAATATAGTTATGTAGCACGCAAAAATATCCATGCAAATGGATTATGGTTTAATACTGAATCTTTCAGACTGTCTAACAGTTTGTGAACAGAGAAGAACTCATAACAGCTTTTTATGAATTTTCTTAATGTAATTCATAATATTTTCCTAAATTACAAAAACCTGCATAAACAGTCCAACTAGAAACAGGCAAAACATTATTTTTAATATGTACAAAAGAATGTAGACCAAAGAAAAAACAAACCTAAGTTCCTGTTGGGTGATATGGCCAAAAAATCAATCAATAGGGAAACAGGATGTTGAACATATAACCTGATTAGGTTTAGTCAAGAGATGATTAAGGTTTATTTTCAAATAATGACAAAATTAGCGTGAATGATTTTCTTCTTGGTCTAATAATGGGACACAGCTTTTACACCTGTACGTTTCACAGTTACATCCTCTCACATTGGTCAACTTTTATTTTTTGCAGTTACCTACACTATGTGTCCGACCTGGGCAATGGCGCACACCTGATCAAAGGTAACTCCAACAAACCACTGAACGACAATCACTGGCACAACGTCGTCATCTCCAGGGACACCAACAACCTCCACACTGTCAAGATCGACACCAAGGTCACCACGCAAACAACCACAGGAGCTAAAAACCTGGATCTGAAGGGTGTGTAGCCACAACGACTTATATTTATTTTGGCATTGGGCCAGTCTATATCTACAAGTTAAATCGTTGGACGATCATGGGGAGGACTGGGGTGTGTGACACTGTGGCAGTGCAGGAATAAAGTAAAGGAACAATCACAAAAGGTCATATGGTAAATGAATCTGATTGGGTTTATGTTACTTACCTTAAAAGCTACGTCTTGATTTCAGCTTTAAACAAACACTACATCTTTAATGGAGTGTTTGTCTATTAGTGTAGCAGCCATTGACCCTGCTCCATATACTATCATTATATTGGATAAACTACCAGCACCAGTATGACTACTACTAGTCCTTATAATGCATCACCAACAACAGCTAATACTAACCCTAATCCTACTGTTACCACAACTAATCATGCAATTGCTAACAATTACAATAAGCAGGATCTATATATGTATTATTTTTATTTATAACTTCGTCGTTGTTTTTATTGTAATTGCTGTCGCTGTAATAAGGGGACTCTGCGTGTTGAATACAATATTTGCCTTTATCCACTAGAGGTCAGTATTGGCTCATTCCTCCTGTCTGTCTTTTCAGGTAATTTCTACATTGGTGGAGTGTCAAAGGAGTTGTTCAAGCAGCTGCCAAAGCTGGTTCATGCCAAGGAGGGATTCCAGGGTTGCCTGGCATCAGTTGATCTGAATGGCCGGCTGCCAGACTTGATGTCTGATGCTCTGGACTGTGTGGGGCAGATAGAGAGGGGATGTGAAGGTGAGAGGTTTCATGGTATATTGGGAGACTGCAGATATGTTCATTGTTGTTACATTACTTAAAAAGTTTTTTTTTTTTTTTGCCAGGACTTCTTCAAAAATGTGATTATTGTTAGATATATGTATAAAACCCAAGTGTGTGCTACATGATGCTATTTCAGCTCCCACTTCCCATTCACACACTTGTCTGACGAGGCCATCCATTCACTGTGAAGCACCCCCGCACATGCTGCCAACCTGTGGCACATAATTTAACAGCCGTAAAGTGTGTTAGTATTCTGCCTGAATGCATCAAGCGCCGACACTCTTCTCCAGGCAATGATTTCCGTTTCACTTGGCCATAATCTGATTATTCCCTGTGCCATATTTGTACTGCCCGTTTTATTCCCCCTTTTATCCCCATTCTGTTTTGCACGATGCATGCGTGCTGGATCTGAGAGTTTGCCAGGAGCCATCCTTTTGAATTATGCATGGAGGTTTTGTTGCTTGCGTGAATATCATTTGCCAAAGATCACAACACATCCAGACACAATATTTGATTTATTTTCTGATGTCATCCAGTTAATTTAGCAATAATCTGCAATACTGTCTAAAGAGCGTTCATTCTCCAACACTGATGTGTTTCAATCTCACAAATATAATTAAACTCAGCTCTCGGTGTAGGGACAGTGCAGACTGAAGCTGCTGTTGCTGTCAAATAAAGGAGGCTTCATTTAATAAAAGTGATTTTTTTTATGCTACTTCAAAAACATATCAGATATCATGGACAAAGCGTATCCTCCAAACATTATATTAAATCAACAGTCTGCGCCTCGGCTGCATACTGCTGATGTCTTTAATACTAGACTATTGGATTACTTGGAGAGTGGTCACTGTTACAGCCGTTATTATTCTGAACACTCACACTAGTCTGAGCACAAACACTTCATCATACAGCCCTGTGGTCTTTTTTTTTTTGCTCCTGCCTCGACAGTCTGTGTCTCTGCTTCTTCACCTTTTAGTCTCTGACTAACAGATGGAACACTTTACTTTCTCCTTTCCTTATTTCTTTGACAAGTGTTGCACTGATGAAAGCCGACTGGCGAGACAGAAAGCTCTGTCCACTTTACGGTGTAATGTGTCCCGCTTTATTACGTCTGTGATTCCTCCAGCCTTTGTGCAGCAGCCTGAACAAGACACCAGCCAAATTTGGTCTGTCACCTACAGCCATGGGGAGGAGCTTCTAGTCTATATATAGTCTATTTTTGTTCACTTCTATATCATCTATTTTATCTAGGGAGAAAAAGAGTTAAAGATCTTTTTCAATATTTTTTAATTCTCACTATATTAACTAAATATGCATATATTTTTTTATCTGTTATGCCTTTAGTGAATGTTGTTAACTATACATTGCACATTGCACACATTTATTTAGTTAATATGTGATTTTGCCATTTCTGCAGCGTTGATGTTGTTGAGAATCCACCACTGCAGTGTAATATATAATGTAATATATTGGCTTTAATATTAATGTTTGCTTTTCATTTTGCTTATGCAGCCTTAAAATTAGCTCCTAATACCCTCATACATCCTTGTCACTGTTAAGCTGCTTTGTACTTTCACAGTGAGGAGTAAACACAACACTGGCTCCTCACAGATCCACATATGGTCATGTGACTTTATTTATAGATTCTTTTACATGTTTAAAAACTGTTTCACTGCAGATTCTGAATTCACTGACCCTTTATTGTAACTAAAGTGTTTTTATCATATAGCACAATGGTTTGGGAAAAGGTCAAAAACCTTCAAAAACAATGTTTCTGCCTTCATATTGGATATGATTGTTAAGGTTATCATGATTTCAGGTTTATTCAAATGCTGTAGAAATGACATTAAATTCCTCATGTCTTGTTAGCGTTTAATTGATTTCATGACAGAGGTTTAGGTTATAAAACAATTAGTGACATTATGTAATTAGAACATTCACGACATTCAGTTTGACTGAGTTACATTTAAAATGTGATATGTTTGTGTTACAGTTTTGTTGTCTTTGTTCTACATCTAGGCCCCAGCACGACGTGCCAGGAGGACTCTTGTGCCAACCAGGGAGTGTGTCTTCAGCAGTGGGAGGGCTTCAGTTGTGACTGCAGCATGACAACATTCGGGGGTCCATTGTGTTATGACGGTAAGACTTTGTATTATTACACCTGACATCGGCTCACACAAGGTTATTATCTTAAAAGTCAGTATCTTGACCTTGAATTGAAGCAGCTGAAAGCCTCAATTGCAAACTCTGTCAGGTGTTTCTGTGCTCATGTAACTCCAGTGTCACATGACCAGGATTGTGCTGCATAACTGCACAGATGTGTGACAAATATTGGTTTAGCGTCTGTCTGGTAAATGGTGTTGGATTCACCTCGAGTTCTATGGCAACATGTGGCTGAATAAGGAATTTATTTTAGTCAGAAGAGAGAGAATGAGGGTAAGACAGTGGAGTCCTGACCTAAAGGTCAAATCTCCCCTGATATGTGTTGATGTTTAGAGCTGGTGTTGTTTCTCCAAGATAAGGTTTACGACACCTGACAACATTGGACTTCATAACTCCAACCATGATTAGCTGTGTTTGATGCTCAGTCTTGGACTGTGCTAAATGAAATCACAAACACTCTCACAGGACGACAGTGAGGCTTGCTGTTATACGCTTGAACTGAGTGTGTTTTCGTCATTAGCGGATCCATTTTTATCCTGTGTGTTCTCAATCCCACCTATTATTGTTTACCATTTAGGTGGGATTTTTGAAGCCCCTGGGAGCGCAGTGTTTGGTGATAATTACATACTTTGCTTTGAAAATATTCGTAAACAACTGCGGCGGAGAACCAAATGGTTCCGCCGCCCGCTGTGACTGGTGACAGTTAACTGCACACTGACTTCACTGAGAGTGTTGAGAACTGATGACTCTTGCAGAAACTTCCACGTGTGTGACATCTGCCTGACAGCTCAGTAGAGGCTCATTAAAGTTTGAGAGACGCACTGCTATAGGGAGCAACAAACACTGTGTTCTCTTAAATAAAATACGATCCATAAGACGACCGAGCAAAGTGGAACGTTGTTCACCAAACAGTTCACTTCATCTGCTGCTTCTGTTGAGTTATTGCATTGACTGATGTGACAGATACAGCATGTACTCTTACTCACTACTGCTTTTATATACTGACATATATTCCTGGAAACTCAACTTCACATCTACTATTGTGGCTAATTCTGTTAGCCTCTCTTTAACCTCATTTATAGTATGTCTCTGCCTTAAAATTTAATGATCTGCAGTACATTACAGGAACTGGCTCTTAGAAAGAGGTTATAATGTGACTACTGCATGTAGAAACACATCCATATGCACACTAACCTATAAATATATTAAAGTGTTAATGACATAAGATGCACAATATCAGGCCTGCTGCAAAATTTAAATATTTAACTCTGAAATATGTGCTGATCCCTGTACTTTGTAATGGATTTTCACCACGTTGTCAGTAGTTTGATATGAATTTAGCATCAGGAATCAAGAGACAGCCTTACTGTATGATTTGTTCAGTTATGATAATAGAAACATCAGTCTCTTCAGTGGATTGAAGAATTTACACCTCGCATTTTCCTACTTGTGTCCTGACTGTGGATTGGTCTAAGCTCAGACACACTGCACCTCACCGTATTAGCCCCAAAACTGTACCAGCTATAACAAAGAATAGATGAGCACACAAATGAAAATCCTCCTATTCTAATCTGTTAAAAAAACAACAAAAAAAAAACTACCCCATAAATTATATTTTGTGACATTAGTTTCCCCTAAAGACAAAACAGGACTCTTCTTTTTGGGTCTTTTTAATGATAAATGTTTTAGCCCCTGGGAGAAGGTGGGTAATGTCTGCTCCGTTTTTAGAAAATGAGCTATTTTCTTCTGCCAAACTTGTTAGTTGGAGGTGGAGGAGTGAGAGGGGGAGTGGTTAAAGTGCTGAAGTGTATTAAAGGGGAAGTACGAGAGCTGGCACTCTTCTGATGACACAAAAAGCTAAGTGGAAAAGACCATAAATGTTAATGCATTCTGTGTCACTTCCACCATCCTGATAAGACGACATCTTTTGCTATCAGGAGGAGGTGTTAATAGTTTCCTGAGCAGCCCTGCAGCTGGGGCATATCTGCAGCCGACGATAACACTAAAAGGATTCTTCTGTCCACAGGACGTGAGGGCTCTGATCTCAGCCCGCCTCTGCTCCTTTTTACTTTACCTTCCTTTTCAAATGTGGTGTTTAGGTTAGGCAGAGAAGCAGTGTGGAAGCTGTTTGGGATTTATTTTTTATTACGAATGTCTTGTGAACCTGATGGAAAGATGACATACAGCGTGAAGCTGTTTTTCCGTCATATTCGTCCTGAGCAGCTCTGTACAGCTTGATTCAGTGCTGGCAGTGTAGCAGCCCACAGGGCATGTATGCATATGTTATATCAGAGCAGAAAATACCTTCCCTGCTGTTTTCAGCTGCTGTAGCAGNCTGGAGCAGCGTCCCTGCTGCCCTGACAAAACAATAAGGAGAAACAATAGAACCGATCAATGTGAAGTCCCGTGGGGATGGAACGTGTGACCACTGAGAAGCAGACTCTCTGAGAATTTATGTTGTCCGGAGACAGTCACGTCCTGAGAACAGTGATGCAAGAGACAAAAACTATGTCAAAGTTGGTGAATTGAAGCTGGGCTGGTTGGGGTTTCATCTGTTTTGATGCATTGTCATGGAGGAGCGAGCAAAGATATCTCTATGGAAAATGTGACTCTTTACCACAGGTATTTGCATAAGCTGAAATGCAGGGAGTTTATGACAGAGGGATTTTACGGGGATGTCGCTGCTTTTCAGGTCTTTTTCCGGAGTCTAGTTTTGGCGTCTTGCCTCACCACGAGGACGGCTCCATTTCACAGCTTCTAACCTTCATAACATTTTAGATTCAGGATACACTGTGTAACCATCAGGCACCGATCACACATGTGATGTATCTATAATTCCATTAGCATCGTGACATCTGATCCAGTTTATTAGAAAACAATTCAGGTCTTTTCAGTAGTGAAAAGTGTATTAAATTGGTTTTCAATCACAAGAATATTCATCAGTACATTTAAAATACAAAGTAGGCTACATTGAGTAAAGGATAATACTATGATGCTATACTATGAAAAAGACAACAAGACAATCAGATTAGTTCAGTTGAGCTCGGGCTATTTCTCTTCTATAAGGATGTGCATGAGCCTGACAAAACTCAGAAAGGACTTTAATATAAACAAACAGGTATTAGCTTTTCACTTAAAGCGTCTTCTGGATTACCCAGAATAACACACATGACAGTTGTCAGTACGCTCCGCATATATCACTTCATAGACATCAGACATGTTTTTTTTTTTTACTTCATGCTACAAGTGTTTCAATTGTTCAGAACATCACTGCACCTTTGATTTGAGTGTGAAGCAGGAAAAGAAAAGATGAGAAAATAATCTTTACATCTTTCTCTTCAGCCCACAAACACTCCACTATGTGCCGTGCCTGTGGTTTCTGTCTTGTGTTTTCAGATCCAATTATCACTGGAGGATTCCAGCAGAAAGTACAAGTAAAAACATAGATATTTTAGAAAAAAAATATTTTTTGTATAATGTAAAGTAAAAATTAAGTGGAACAGTTTTATTTGACCTCTAACTGTAAGCCAAGTGTGAGGAGTGCTGTGGCCAGGTTCGGTCCCCGGGCCGGAGTATGAGAACCCTATTTTAGTACGCTGTGTAAGCAAAGACACTGTAAGAGAAGACTTTGGAAGAGGATAAAAATATCCTTCTTAATATGCACATGAAGCATTTTAAAGTTAATTTGCGATTGATCGAGTTAATCTATGATGTAGACAATTCTGTGATTACCTGATTGTTTAGGTCTAATCAGAATTGTTCAGAGAGTTAGGAAAATGTCCTTTATCGTGAGAGAACATTGTGTTGTTTGCGTGTGATCTAGTCTAGACTCGAAGGAGTTGAGCATCTGAGTGTACAGTACAGATATAAACAGACAGAACAGTGTTGTGTGGTTTGTTAAAGTGGGTCATGTGGGGTGTACAGTGAGGGACATCCCTGGCCTCACGCACTTTTGTCTCGCCTGAATGCTCATCCGTCCAGTCTTATAGGCAGAGCAATTAGTGCCGTGTCAATATTGTATCAACAAAGGACTTTGTCTGGAACTCCAGCATTAGTGGTCCCTGCCCGAGGGCCAGAGGGAAGCACTTCTTATTTGATTTTTTTTTTGTAAAGTGTCTGGGTCAATGCTAATTCCTGTCTCTTTGTACTTCAAGAGTACTCCGTCTGGACGCCGCAGCTCAATATACGCTGCGATCTGTAGGACAAGAGTCTGAATTTGTTTTTCCGAGCACATACAGAAGAAAGTTTCTGCCAAGTGTCTTGGCCTCATGTAAAATAAATACACCCCGAGTATATCACACAGGAGTCGATTTGTTGCATCATTCTGCCGTTGTAAGAATTTAAATGAATATTTCAGAAAGACATGAGACGAAAGTCCAGGAAATCTGGAAAGTTCAAAATGAGCACAGTCGTTTCACACAGTTTTGCATTTGTCAAGACACGGAATGTACTCCAGCTGTCAGCACACCGGTGCACTCAATGTCAGAGGCATTATGAGCTATTCACTGACTGCAGGTCTGATTTCTGTCTGCCTGGTACTGAAAACTCCCTTTTTAACAGTTCACTCAGTTATATTTTTAAGGAATGTGGGAAAAATGGCTTCTTGTAGCTTTTGTTTCTGTGTTCTCTGCACAATGCTGCTCTGCTCAGCATGACTCTAAGTTTACACCCTCCTCAAGTTGTCAAGTCATTCTCTAGTAAGCTTTGCTTGGTATTGTAATGTAATCCTTCTGTGCCTTTACACAACAAAAATGAATTATTTTGTTACATTACAAGACTACTTGAAACAAACAAAATATTATCAACTATAATGACTTCATCTTATATGAATAATCTGCAATGGGCTAAGCCCAATTTTGCTTGTAACCACAACTATAAAAGTTACCGGTTCTTTGCTCCTATTAACTATTTTTCTAATGCGTTACTGTACAGTCTACACTCACACAGGACGTTGTTGTACTTTAAAGGTGATACAC